TCCTATTCTTAGACTGCAATTCCCAGCAGTCCTCCTGATCGATCGATCTACCTACCTACCTATCTCTTTGTAATAATAATAATAACACTTGATTTGTACCCAGCTGGCCTGTTAAGGGTGTAGTGTCCAAATTTTGTGTCAATTCGTCCAGTGGTTTTTCAGTTATTAAAAATAAAAATTACATTTTTATTTATATAGATAACATATATCCTATTATTATTATTATTAATGAATGCCCTGATTTTTCTGTCTTCAAAGTAACTCAGGAGCAGCTAATTATATTAAAAAATACACAAAATTAAAACCAGAAAGATGTAAACAAATGTTTATCTCAAAATATATACTCTGTTTATTATTATTTATATCCCACTTTTTCTGTCTTCAAAATGATTCAAAAGCAGCTAACACTGTTAAAAAGTAAAAATGCACAAATTAAAACCAAAAGGATATAAACAAATATTTTTTTTAAAAAAAAACTTTTAGTGTTTATTCTCTCGTTTTTCTGTCTTCAAAATAATGGAAAGCAGCTAACAACATTAAAAAATAAAAATGCACAAATTAAAAATAAAAAGATGTAAACAAATGTTTATCTAAAAACATGTACCCTTCTTCTTCATATCCCTCTTTTTCTCTACAAAAGAGACTCAAAGCGGCTTCAGTAAAACCAATGCAATACAGTTTAAAACCTAAAAATATACAAACATTAAAATCTTTGCATTTGCTCTGCTTGCCCTTCTCTGTCAAGCATCTCAGGAGAAATTTTGTCATCCAGGAACATAAACTTCCCTTTACGGCACTCAATGAGTGGTTTAACTGCCATGGTTCAATGCTGTAGGAACATGGGGATTGTAGTTTTACAAGATCTTAAGCCTTTTCTATCAAAGAGTTTTTGTGCCTCACCATACCATAGATACCACGAGTCCATAGCAATGAGCCAAGGCAGTCAAAGTCTTCTGTACATGTATATACTCTTTAAAAATAAAATCCTTTTTTTTACCCACAGCTTCTCAAGTCATGGTACAACATAGTTAAAATACACAGATAAAAATATAAGCCCATTTAAAATGTGTAGACTAGAGCACATTAAAATTATTCATATTAATAAAATGTCAGCTTTCTTCACGGTGGATTTGGATTGAGTGTGATAAAGTCTTTGGTGTTAATATAACTCATACCATGTCTGCATGTACATATTTGTACTATCATCCGTGATAGAAAAAGGATCACTGAAAGTACAGGTCCCAAGTTGTCAAAACGGAAATATTTTCTGTTAGTTACCCTGGTGCAGCCTAGATATCTGAGTGGTACAGAGCTCTTTGACTCGTTGGTGCTCCCCAGTTGTGTCTGGACGTAACACTGAGGACCCTTCCACACAGCCATATATCCCAGAATATTCAGGCAGAAAATCAGATAACCCAGTTCCAAGCAGATATTGTGGGATTTTCTGCCTTGATATTCTGAGATATAGATCTGTGTGGAACGGCCCTAAAGCTTTTCTTATATTTCCTATTAATTCCCCATTTAGGGTGTCATTTGAATTTAAACCATGATTTATATTAACTATAGTAGTGAAAACCAAATTTATAAACTGAGAGTAGATTACTTCTACTGTTAACATCAACTGCATTTTTTTTGGATTTTAGCAGCACTGCAAAGATGTAGTTAAGCAAAAGTGTTTATTCCACAGTTTAGTGTTTTTGTAATTATAAACCATAGTTCAGTGTTAAAATTAAAAACAGCCTTGTGTTTCTTTGTGCTTTGCAGAGAAATGGATTTTGTGTGCGGACTGGTCTTCAGTTATTTCACTGTTGCCACACTGCAGGCTGTCAGCAGATAATCCCAGACCAACAAGAAATGAGTGGTTGAGCAGTTCACTGAAGTCTCTGTTCAGTGACGATGCTATCAGAGACACACAGCTGCTTTTTTAGATGGCACATTTGCATGATGTGTGCAAGAGGCCGTTTCCTTTGTGGTATACAGATACAGAACACTTTTTCTCTTATGTTTTTCAAGTTTGTGAAAGCCTTCGTTTTCTCTTAACTAGGCTATAATTTTGGCTGTGACAAAATTAAAGAGAACCCTACTAAAAAAAAATTAAGCTATGCTTGGATGGCTGTTAGGATCACTTATAACGATTGAAATCCTAGTTATATTAAAATTGTTTAACCTTTGTCTTCATTTTCATTTTCCCAAGAGTTTTGGTGACTAAAATTAATAAATTTGGTAAAAAAATTCTGTTAGGAAGTGTCAAGTTATATTGATAAAACAGAAAAGCAAGTACAATATGTTCCCCATATCACAAACACTTTTAGGGAGTAGGGTTGATGTTTTTGGAGAGRGGGTAAGTGAAACCATCGCTATCAGGTCCTTGAATTAGGGGGCCATACTATATTTTAAGCAGGGAAAGGATATACGCCATTGGTATATGCCTTCAGCCCCCCCCCCCCCCAATTCTCATGGTGGTCTGAGAGAAGGCCTTACTGGTACATTATTTAAACTGTTATGTTTATTCATATCATTATCTGATAACAATGCTCAATATATCCCATATGCATGGGGTATTGGGGTAARGATTTCCTCATTTTAAACAAGCATTGTATATATCTACATTAGTTGTTAACTGTTGCCATGTTGAGTGACTTGTGGTGACCCAATGAATGAGACACCTCRAACTCACCCTATTATTAACAGCCCTGTTTAGGTCTTGCAGATTTTGTTGTTGTTTATTCATTCWGTTGCTTCTGASTCTTTGTGACCTCATGGACCTGCCCACGCCAGAGCTCCCTGTCAGCTGTGGCCACCCCCAATTCCTTCCATCAAGCCAGTCACTTCAAGGATACCATCCATCCATCTTGCCCTTGGTCTGCCCCTCTTCCTTTTGCCTTTAATAAACAAGGCTGACCAGACTGTTGTGAGAGTGTTTGCTACATGTGATATAACACTTTAAGAAAACAGTTGATGGTCGATCATGTCTGTGAAATCTCCATGATGTGTCTCTAATCCCCCCCCCCCCTTTTCTGTTATAGGCAGCTAAGGAAGTTAGATGAAGACAGTTTAACAAAACAACCTGAAGAAGTGTTTGATGTATTAGAAAAACTTGGTGAAGGGTAAGTCAATGTTATGAGAAGCTATATGAGGGATGTACTAAGCACCTATGGCAGCTGTTGCTCCTAGAAATCATCCAGAATCTGTATGTTTTATAAAGCACAACAATTTTTATTTACACAAGCAAAACTATCGAACACTCTTAACAGGCTATTCTGACATTTATAATTAAAACCACTGACCTTTTAAGTTTTAGGACTACCTTAATGCATGGATCCCCTTCCAAAATGCAGCAAAAGGAAACTTACTGCCAATCAGTCTTTCAGGAGTTAGAAGGTTAGTAGTTTGCAGCCAGGTGAAGTAACATTATAGCTTTGGAAAATAGATGTAGCTTTGCTGTGACAGGCATAGGAAACCAGAAACTTACATGTTTTGAACTGCAGATCAGCATAAGCAACAGCTAGTAAGACCAATGGTCAGAGGAAGGGAGTTGCAGTCTGGAACACCCAAATGTACTATGTTTCTGCTCCCTGCAGTTTAACTATTGCACCTTCACAGTACTTTGAATGATGATCTCTGTAGACCAACATCAGCGTGTACAGAGTTTAGTTATAGCAGGAGTGTCCAATTTTTTCACTTCACTGGGCCACATTGGAAGAAGATGAATTGATTTGGGTCTCACACCACAGTAATAACTTTATAATAATAATAACTTTATTTTTATACCCTGTCTCCATCTCCCAGAAGGAACTCGGGGCGACTTACATGGGACCAAACCCAATCACACAGAGTTAAAAACATAGCTTATAAAATATAACGACAATATAAAACAGCATTATAACAATAGTAAAACAGATATCATAAGCAACAATCAAGGACATACTGAAGACTGAAGACATGCATACACACAAATAGCAAAAGTGTATAGTGTATGGTGGCGTTATGCCTAGTACAGAATACATACTTGCATTCTTTTCCACAATTCATTTTACATGACATTTCGCTTTATTTTGTTAGTTAATTTTAATGGTTTTTGTTTCTTCTGGCAGAATAATTTGCATTTATAATGTGAATTATTGCTAATACTCGAACATAACATACTCTGATGGTTCCATTCCATTCTGCTGTTGTCCACAAAGTTTGCACTAAAGAACCACACAATCAATGCTGTAATTAAATTTACAATTTTGTGTTAGGCCACATTCATATCTGTTCTGGACCACACACAGTCCATGGGCTGTTGGTTGGACAAGCCTGAGTTGTAAGTTTTTTTTCTCACAGACATTTTTTTTAGGTTTTAACTAATACATTGTTTCAAGGACCATTTGTGTAAAATTCCTAGACATTTTGCAGCTATGGAAAAACATAGTTTTGTGTTTATTTTTTTTTGGACGAAAACGACAAATTTAAATATATACAGTAGTGATTTAAATTTCAAATGCAAACTTTATTATTACTTCATCATGCTAAGCTTGATGAGTATCTTAATCACCACATAAAATAGTACTATTTGACATAGTTATGAAATTTCAAAATTAGATTTTTATGTTTTTATCAGAATTTAGTGTGGTGAGTGCTTTGCAGGTTAATAAGCCCTTTTGTTAATAAGCCCTCAGTTTTCAGTTCCCTCTTTCTATGCCTATATGTGGGCACACATAGCAATGTATAATTTCAGTCGTAGTCTTGAATTTCATGGTGCGAAACCCTCTCTGCTCAATTCATGTGTATCTGTATCTGGTTATTCATTTTTGCCACATTATTGTAGTATAATTGCTTGATGGTGTTTAGGTCGGGGAAAAATCAGCCTGTGTGCCACTAGAACGCCTTGTTCCCTCTGTATTTACACATATCATGTAAAATGTGCTTTTAATACATTATTGAAATGATTTTCAGTGGTTTTATAACCATCGGTAACAGATATATTAGCAAAGCTAGTCTTATAGTAATCTAAAATCCATGTAGCATAGAATGCCTAAATATGTGGTGCACTCATTTTTTTACATGTTTGTTTCTTGTTACAGGTCTTATGGCAGTGTATTCAAAGCTATCCATAAAGAAACTGGCCAAGTTGTTGCAATTAAGCAAGTTCCTGTTGAGTCTGATTTGCAGGAGATCATTAAAGAGATATCCATAATGCAACAGTGTGATAGGTGAGTGCCATTGCTGGGTATTTTCACTGCCCAGAAAATCTTCTGAACTCAGAAATGCCCCAATACTTTTTTCAGAAACCCAGTATGGAAGTAAAACGTCCTGTCTTCCTGTTCAGAGGAAAAAGAAGCAAGCGTATAACTTATTTCCTCATAATCTATTTGCAGAGAAGAATGGAATTATGGTCTTTCATCTGTTATTTTTACAAAATCTTCCTTCAGTGTAATAGTTTAGCAATTTTAAGAATATTATTCACAATACTAAGAAATATGCTATTACAAAAAATATGCATTGTGCATTGCATTTTACTTGCAATAACTGTTGCAGAGTCCTGCTGCAGTTACCCATCAGCAAAACTTACAAAATGAGATACGGAAAAATACCTTCTTCCAAAGAACACTTATTTCTCACTTCCTACTAGGTTTTTTAGGAGTGTTGGACCATAGCTGATGCTCAGTACAAGAACCTAGATTATGGAGTGAAGAAGTACTTTCTTTCTAGATGAATTGAGTAATGGTTTCTCATCCTCCACTGATCTTTGTGGTGTCTGTGTGTTGGGGGGTGGTAATACTGTAAGTGAACACAAATAATGGCTTGGATATTCTGCCAAGCAAAATTTTACGAACCCCTTTAGGCTTTATTCTTACATTTGTTAAAGAAATGAAGAAACGTGGAGTAATATACTTTAAATAAACATGTGTTGGAGTAAACTTACCAGAGCTTCTATTTTTTCACCTTAAAGCAGAGAGGAAAATCATGTGGTCTTCCAAATTGTGGACTGCAAGTGACAACATTCCTGGCCATTGGCTACATTAGCAAGGGCTTCTGCAAGTTACACTTCAACAACATCTGCAAGGTTGCATGATTCCCAGCCCTGCTTCATAACAAAATGTTGTCTTTAAGGGCATATTCTGATTTAGATATGTTATTTACTGCAATGCCTCAAAATTTGTGTTTGTGTTTTAAAAAAAGGTATACATAAAATGCTGGGAGTTGCAGTTCAACAACGTTGGGAGGGTCACATAATTCCCATCAATTCTTTACTAGTATGCTGTCTGTTTGATTATTGATCAGACACTAAGGGTTAGTTAAATTAAGCTTATTTGCTGTATAGAACAGTCCTCCGTATGTCTTCTGTTTAGATTTCTACAACCCATGTTCCTGACATGGGTGACATTGCAAAACTAAAGGAACATGGCAATGAATTTTCTTTTCCCAAGTTCTTGCATTAATATTGCAATTGAATTTAAATATGTTTTCTAGTTTGCATTTGTTTAATTTTTCCTTAGTCCTCATGTAGTCAAATACTATGGCAGCTATTTTAAGAACACTGACCTCTGGATAGTCATGGAATATTGTGGTGCCGGATCTGTGTCTGATATCATTCGACTGCGAAATAAAACGGTATGTACTCCTTCAACATCATAGTAACTTCTAAACTTTCTTGCAGATGGAAGTGTTCCATGTGAATACAATATTTTGATGTCAAATCTAAAATTGGATCCCAATACCTTCTAGTCATTAACCTTATTTTTTGGTGTCATGAGGGGTGAAGCTACACAAATAGAATATTCTTTATTGCTTGGGGTCACTATATGTCTAGTAGTGAAGGCTCATGCACACAATACATGTTGTCACTGAAATGGTTTCAGCTTCTTGTCTTAAATCCACTTAGTTCTCTCTCTCTCTTTTTGCACTCAGTTTGTATATTCTGCATGTGTAGACGTATTTGCGAGCATGTACACTTAAGCATATAGTTAAAGTTGGTAGATGTGTACTCTTTATGATTAGCTTAGATTTTTCAAATCCTGTTACATAGTCCTTTGTCTGGGTTACTGGAGCAATATTGTGCAATGATACATCACTATATTAAGTGGCGTTTGAAACAGAGAGAGTAGACTGACCAGCAAGTTATATTTGAAAGGTTTTCTAAGTACAGGAAGTCCCTGAGTTGCAAACATCCGACTTACAAATGACTCCTAGGCCCTTCCACACAGCCCTATATCCCAGAATATCAAGGCAGAAAATCCCACATTATCTGAGTTTGAACTCAGATAACTCAGTTCAAAACGGATACTGTGAAATTTTCTGTCTTGATATTCTGGGATATAGAGCTGTGTGGAAGGGCCCATAGTTACAAACGGGTGAGACAATAGAAAGTGAGAGAAATCTACCCATAGGAAGGGAAATTCACTCCTGTAAAGGTTATCATGGAAAAAGAGTGCCTCAACTGAAGCTTTATCACCAATCCATGTTTCTACAACAATTATTTATTTATTTCATGCATTTCTACCCCTTCCTTCTCCCCACAAGGGGGGGACGGGACCCAGGGCAGCTTCACACAAGCATTATGTGATGCTATCAACATATAAGCAACAAGGATTACAGTTAAAAACAGTAAAAAATAATTAAACACATTATATGGATTCATTAAACAAGTTCATTAAACAATAGATTAACATGTCAATTAAAACCAAAATGGAGTCAGGGTAAATCCAATGTTGCAGATGTCCCAAATTTTCTTTCCAATTGCCGCAAATTGCAAATATTTTCAAAATCCAGCTATTACAGGGACAGAAAATGAGGCGAACTCTTCTGAAAAGGAGCTCAGACAGCTAAACAAACATCACGGGTTGTTACCCTTTCCCTTTGCTATCTAAATATGCCTCATGCACAGAGGAAGAACTGTGTAAAGCTCCAGACAGTGCAGTCGTTGTTGCCCATTTTGGGTTTAAAATTATTTAGCTGCTTGTGCTCCCTCTATTTTATCAGTTTTGTACTTATTTATGCAATTCTCTTGACATGAAATAAATAAATGAAAAAAGGTCCACTTATAGCATTTTTGTTAATTTCATGTAGTAAATAATTACCTGGGATATTGGGATTGCACTTGCAGCTTTATAGGAAACTTGGAGAAAGAGGGAACTTGACTCGAGACTGTTGTAGGCTCCAGGTTGATGTGGGTTACTTGTGCTGCTCTTGCTTTATAATAATATTTTAAAGTATCCTCAAGTGTCAGTTTATATGATAAGGAAAAATACATACTATAATGTACACATTGTGTCTTCTGATCTTAATTATTTTGTTCAGTACTACATAGATTAGTTGTAGTCAGTTGTAACAGTGTACCATTTGTTGTACAGTACCATTAATTATAATTAGTTGTAACAATGTCCATATAAGAGAGTTTGTGTACATTTTAATAATAATAATACTTTTATTTAATACCCTGAAATGGAACAGTATTTATACAGCAGCTAACCCTGAGTATCTGCTAAATTAATTTTCTTTCTTCAGTTGATGGAAGATGAAATTGCTACAATTATACAGTCAACGCTCAAAGGACTAGAATATTTGCATTTCATGAGGAAAATACACCGTGACATCAAAGCTGGCAACATATTACTCAATACAGAAGGGCATGCTAAACTTGCAGATTTTGGGGTAGCAGGCCAACTCACAGTGAGTAAAAATTGCCTCTGCACACTTATTTTAATATAAGATTATTATGGGTTGAATATGTATTTTCATAGAATCATAGAGTTGGAAGAGACCTCATGGGCCATCCAGTCCAACCTCCTTTTGATGCATCCTGCTGGAGTAATAGGTCTAAAATAAATGTGAAATATTCCAAAACCAAAAACCTTTATCACTAGCCACTCACTTCCAGTTTTGAGGAAAAGAGTCTAGTCCAGATATGGACAAACTTCGGCCCTCCAGGTGTTTTGGACTTTAACTCCCAGAAATCTCAGCCAGTTTACTGACTGTTAGGAATTGTCGGAGTTGAAGTCCAAAACACCTGAAGGGCTGAAGTTTGCCCATGCCTGGGGTAGTCACATTCAGCGCTTCCTGCGTTTTTCCTCCAGGAGGTCTGATAAGGGGAAGAAGAGGAAGTGGGGGAGGTCTCTGCTTGGCTAAAGTCTGTCTAAAAAGCAGACATTCCAGATACTTTTGTGTTTTCTTTCTGCCTGGCTAATGATGGTGCCTGAAATTGACAGCAAGTACGCAGCAGCCACATTGGCCTGCCCCTGTATTTGGCCCAGAAAGAATAGAAAAAAAACTTGCAGTGGTGGGGTAGGAAGGGAGGATTTCCCCCTGTTTCTCTGGCTGTTTTGCTAAAAAGCTAGAAAATGTGCTGACAGCTAGGAAAACATCTTTTTTAAAAAACAGAAGCCTTGTGTAAGCAGACTCTGGCAGTAGGGGAGCAGGGGCTCCTAGCAGATGGGGTCTTGCCAGGCATTTGACATGTGACAATCATCTCTCTCCCTCCCCCCTATCATTCATTCTCTAACTATATGAACATACAATATTCCAAAATCCCCCCAAAATCCAAAATCTTTATAATTGTGGGATCTCAATAAGGGAGACACCCTATACCAGCTTTACTGGCTCATAATCGTGTGGATGCACCAACTGGTATGAAACAGCTCTTTTGATTGATTTTCTAGATGTGAGCTTTCATAACTTTTGAAGTTAATCCATTTTAAATTTAGAGTGCTTGTCAATACATGGTGCTTTTGAAGTGCTGCATAGTCTTTGTCTAAATTCCTCGGGAAAGTTTTTGTTTGTTCTCACTTAATTTGTTCGATTTTGCTAGCTTTCTTAAAATTTCTTGTTTTTTCTTTGTGTCAGGATACTATGGCAAAAAGAAACACTGTGATAGGAACTCCATTTTGGATGGCACCTGAAGTGATACAAGAAATCGGATACAATTGTCTAGCAGACATCTGGTCACTTGGGATTACAGCCATTGAAATGGCTGAGGGAAAGCCACCATATGCCGATATTCACCCAATGAGGGTAAGGGCTAAGTAATCAATCTGATTTGTTATTTGATAGCTGTGTAATGCACTGGTGGAGTTGGAAGCCAGTTCTCGTGATAATGTGTGATTATAAGCTGGACAAGAATGATTGGCAAGTATAAATGGAATATGTATTACCAACATGCATGAAGAAACACATACTGTACCCAGTCAGATGTTCTGAGTGCATTTGTTGGGCGATTTCCCACCATTACCACAGTTACTCAGATTACATCGTGATTGCTCTGAAATTAAATGTTTTTCGGAAGATAGTTTTTACTGAAATGTGGAAGTGAAAAGCACACATTCCTGAAAACTTATTGTTGTTTGCAGGCAATTTTCATGATTCCAACAAATCCACCTCCAACATTCCGAAAGCCAGAACTTTGGTCAGATGAATTCACAGATTTTGTAAAACAATGTCTTGTGAAGTGTCCAGAACAAAGAGCCACTGCAACACAATTGCTTCAGGTCAGTATCTGCTATGCTAGAATGTAAATAATATTATAACGTTTTTCTTCCTCTGGTACACTTTGGATTCTGACACTTGTTTTCTTGGCACTAATATTTTGGTTCTTCACTATCTGGTTGATCAGCCTTTTAATAAAAAACTAAAAATTTACTTCATTATTTGAAATATTTTTTTATTTGACTTGTCTGGAAAACTGGAGTTGGATAAGAATGATTGGAACTAAAAGCAGAGAGAAATCTTCCTGTTTCAAGTACTTCTATGACTGTGATAAGAGAATTTTGAGAATAACTGCTCACTTACTGTGTGGACAGATAGAAGATCTAATAATAGTGACTTTCTGGAGAAGCCTGTGTGAGAGAGTACCCAGCCTTAGGGAAGTAATTTGTTTATGTGCCATCTCTGTGGGCATATGACTGTACATATTTTTTTGCTTTTTGTCTAGGCTTGATAAAAGCTGAAAACTCTATGGTTATGTGAATAGGCATTATATGGGAACCTATTCTACTGTAGCCTGTTTTTTTCATTTATAACATTCTTAATTCTTAGTATTTCATTATTTAATATGTCACCAGTTCGCTTATATAATTTCTTTCTTGAGAATTTTTCACTGTAGTGAAATAAACCGTGGCCAGGGATGCCTTTAACATCCCTAATTTTGCAGCTGAGAATTGGGGGTAAATAATCTACTTGAACTCCTGTGTGTATCTATGTGTCTTTAAAATCTGCAGTTACATTCTGCATTTCTTCCCAAGTGGTCTTTTGCTCCCTCACAATGGTACAATGACAGTAATGATACAGACAAAAACAAACTTGTTCCTATATGTGTTCAGTCAGAAGTAAGCTCCAGTTATTGAGGATCACTTACCAAAGAAGCATGCAAAAGATTGTAACCGACATATCTATTGGAGTGTCTGCTGGTCAGATAAACGCTGACGCTGATAAACCCCTGGTATAGACCACACCATGCATAATTTCATTTTTCCTCTATATAAAATTGGATATAGCTTGCTTTGCAGTAGAAGTTTTTAGTGTATCATAGGTTAGTTACATTATTTTAACCTAATGGGTCAGAACTACATTAGCCTTAGAAATTACACAGCTTGGATAGGACTTAGAATAGAGTTGTATTAATTTTCTACCAGCACTATGTGCTCAATCAACAAAATTAATGAGATCATTGTAACTCTGTGCTTAGATCTTTTGTTCTGCTCTCATACCTTAGTTCAAAGTTCTTACTTTTCAGCTTGTGTCTTTTAGCATCCGTTTGTGAAAAGTGCCAAAGGAGTTTACATCCTGAGAGATCTGATTAATGAGGCAATGGATATCAAATTGAAAATTCAGGAAGCTCAACAACGTGAACTGTATCATGATGATGAAGAAAATTCAGTGAGTATTAAAACCCTGTGCTTCCTATAGTAATTCTGTTAATTCTATCTTTCTGGGTTGACTGTTTGTAATTCCTTCATTCCTCGCTGATTATAGAAAATAGTTAAAATGCTCTAACTTACAACAAACTCCTTCAAACTTGTGACATACACCTTCAAATTTCAGTTCAATTATTGATTGTATAATATTGTGTAATATTTCTGATTACCTGGTTATTATGCCTAACCAGATTTCCCAACCTCAAAGTAAAGATGATAATTTTGAGTGAACTTAAATTAATACTATAGTTTTCTTGCTAATCTTTCTTTCTGCTGCTTCTCAAAGTAGCTTAGAGCACCATATAAAATCTTTTGCCAAATATTATATAAATTCAGGATGTAAAACAGTTTCAGTTCACTTTGTTAATGCCAGTCTCTAACAATCTCTATCTAAGAAGGAAGTCTAAAACATATATTATAAGAAAGTCAGACTTCATGTTCGCTTTTTTTTCATCTTTTCTAACTTTTATCTCATCTTTTTGGTGTATTTTATTGATGCATTTTTGGCAAAAGTATTAACCTCCCCAGCTTAGCAAGAATAAACTACTAATTTTATGATCAAGTTGAAGATTTCATTCTCTAGACCACTCATCCATCATTTTGATATCCCTTTGAGAATAAAAGCTGGTAAATCAAGTAATTGTTAGTTGGCTAGGACTAAATTTGTAAACTGACATTTTCCTTTTAATTGATATTGGAGAACCCCTTGGACTTTGCTTGAATCAAGTTATTCAGAGGTATAACATGTTAATATCTGTATGCAGGAAGAAGATGAGCCTGATTCTAGAACCATGGTACGAGCACGGGGACAGGAAACTAATACAATCAGAGCTGCTTGTGGAATGAGTGATGGTATCAATACCATGATAGAATATAATGACACCTTAGAGTCACAACTGGGAACAATGGTGATAAATACAGAAGATGAGGAAGATGAGGGAACAATGAAGAGTAAGTATGTCATCTTTAGTTATGTACAACATTGAATAATATGTTCATTGTGCATAATATGGTTGGGGGTTCTATATTGGCACCCCATTTGTGAAACAGGAAGATTTCTCTCTGCTTTTAGTTCCAATCATTCTTATGTCTTCTGATTGCACTGCTGAGTTTATATATTAGGCTGTTTTTGACTACATTTATGTATACTGTTGTCATAGGATATGCCTGACTAGTTAAGGTATTCTTTTAATGTATACAAAACCCAGTGACTGAGCTCTGGGAAAGTGTGTTTTTATACACGAGTAACTAAGATTTAAAAAATTTAAATGTTGACTGTTGGCCTTTTTCATTAAGTTAGAATATTGCACCATCCTTCTGTATATTACTACATAGGGTGGTAGAAAAAATATCATAGGTTTTCTTTTTTTCCATTTTTTTATTATGTTCTTGGAACCAATGTATTTTCTCCACTAGAGGGAATATGCTCTGAAAATAATACGTCTTTTGTTACAAAAGTGATGTTTTGTTAAAAAAAGAAGCATCTTTGACACTCTGTCTACATTGCAGTTCTCTATTTAATGGTCATATTCGTTCAATAAAACAATTATTCCCCTAATTAGCCGCAGTTGTTCAACCCATGCAATGCATGCAAATTAATTCTTTTTAAAAAAGACTGTGTAGAGTAAGGTGAGAGCAATCATCATCACCAATTAGTGTTTCCTAAATTGCTTTATGCTCCAATATTAACAAATTAAACACGCTGTAATCTATTTTGTGGAATATTCTTTACCTTGGCCTACAGATGAGATGGTAGAATGATTTAACTATTTCAGGCTGAAGATAGAAAACACTAGATTTTGGGTGGATTTCTTTCAAATACCCTAGATATGTTTTAAAGAGGAAAAACTTCACCCACACACACCTTTGTAACATTTTTTTACCCAGAGTAGCCTTTTTAAAATTTGTTCTCACTCATAAGTCATGCAATCTATATGACTTTGCACCTCATTTGCACACTCTTTGTTTTATGTGCTTTTTGTTGTGACCATCAAGTCATTTTCTGACTCATGGTGATTATGTCACAATGTTATTGTCCCAAGATTTGTTGAGAAAGGGTTTGCCATTGCCCTCTGAGGCCAAGAGCATGTGGCCTTCCAAGGTTACCCAGTGGATTTCATGGTTGAGTGGGGATTTGAACCTACATCTCTTGCTAAAAGCAAATGTTCCTGCTATTGAAAATCTGTCTGAAATTTTAACTTCTGGCATGGTCAACAACATTTTTAGTTCTGCAGATGACTTATTTTTTTTCATTGAGTTTTCCAGCATCTGCGGGTCTCTAATGCCCTGATGTGTATTAACTAGTCAACATTTATGACACTCTCAATTCTGTTGTTCCTAACCAGTCTGTCACTCTTCTCAATTATAAATTGCCATGATCAAGGTGGTGGTGGTGAGTTGAATACCCTTTTCTTTCAGGCTGGATAGATTCATTATTTGACTGAATGTGACACAGGATTCACATAGAATTGTAGAACTTTAGTGGGGAATAGCAGGGAGTCAGTGTTCAACTTTCAACCTTGGAGCAGTTTTTTTCTGCCAGCTGAATTTCAACTGTAAATGTCTAAACGGATAAGAGAAAAGCTGGTGTGAGTAGTAAGCAATATTTATTTAGCACAGATGTGAGTTTGGAACCATCCATCCATCACTTTATTTATATCCCGCCTTCTTTCTCCCAATCTGGGATTTAAGGAAGCTTTCAAAAAAGGCAAAGAATAATAATAAAAAACCCTCATCCACGCATAGCTAAGATATACAAAATTAGATTAAATCAGTGTTTTTAAAAATAGAATTAAAACCACGGGCAATCCCTCTCGCATTCCTATCAATCATGCCTGTGAAGGTGTTGGCATAGAAAGGAGTGCTTTCCCTGCAGATCATAAAGCTCACGTGTCTTGCCATGGGAAGATAGGCTGGTTCACAAGATATGAGTGTATGTGGAGGCTTAATATGAAATATTTAACTTTTGTGACTCTGTTTGCTGTTTTTGATTGCTTTTGGTTGCACTGAGTTGTTAGTGTTACTGTAATATATAAAAAATGGGTTACCTGTAATATTCCGATGCTTCTCAAGCAGAAAAAATGGTCTGTGATTGCAGTAGACTTGTAATACTGATAGTGTTTAACCAAGAGAGGGAGCTGCAGCACAGCTTTTAATGCAAAATGGCGTTGTGAAACTTTTATACCTTTCAGTTCAATATTCTTTCATATTGTCTGATGATATTGTTAATTAATAGTAAGTAGTAAAATAGAATTTTGTATACAGGCAGGCCCAGAGTTGCAAACATCCGACTTACAAGCGACTCATAGTTACAAATGGACATGAATCAACAGGAAGCGAGAGAAATCTATCCTTAGGAAGGGAAATTTACTCCTGGAAGAGTTAGACTATGTAACATGATTTTTGTTTCTAGGTTATAAGTGTCATTTCTTAATAAAAACATGGAAAACGTTTATTAAACTGCAAAAACCTTGTTTTTGCTGGACAACCTACAGCACATTTTGTTATAGTTCTTCAATGAATATCTCACAGAGTCTCAACCATGAATATCTCACAGAGTCTCAACCAATTCAACATAGTTTGTGACAGCTACAGAAATGAAGTTTCTGGAGTATTACAACTACTTTCAAAGTAAGCACTGCACAATTAAATAGGAAATAACATTTTCAAATCTAGAACAGATTTTTTTTCTTCAAATTTTGTCACATAATGTTATTGTGGGGAAAAGATGTCTTAACTGAAACTGTATCACCAATCCTTGTTTCCACAACAAACCATTTTTTTCAAAATCCAATTATCGCAGAGACAGAAAGTGGTATAAAATCTTTTGAACAGACAGCAAAAGAAACACTACAGGGGTGTTAACTAGGGCTGTAAATCATTTTGGAAGATTTATATCAGTTTTAGAAATGGCTCCAGGTCTCTGTCACATGCACCTCTTCTTCCCCGAAAGGGCTGGATTTGGTTCTCCCAAATGGTCCCAGGTGGATGGTGAGGATGGAATGGAGGAAGAAGCCCTATTCTTCTTTAGACTTTTCCAATGATGTGTTTCAGTGGAATAATAGGAGGAATCCAATAAAAACACTCAGATCAGCTTTGTATGCTTACTCTTACCCCAGCCTTGCATTGCTTGGTAAATGTGTCTTAATAATTTGTCCTGGTATAATTATTTCTTAGCAAGGTGACCTGTTCTGTCTTCAGTCTGTGCAGGCTATATTTACATATGCCTCACTAAATTGCTTCAGGTGCTCTATTTTTCACCTTATTACTTTTGTGGTCATGCTCCCTTCATGTTGAATTAAATTGATTTCACTATGAAGATGTATTAGCCTTATGTATGAATTTTCTTTGGAGATATTTATTTCGAAACCGTATTTTATTGTAAAATACTGTTGATTTCTAAATAGTATTTTAAATGTAATGGACGAAGCCCCCGGTGGTGCAATGGCTTAAACCCTTGTGCCCTCAGTGGCAGGACTGCTGGCTGAAAGGTCGGTGGTTCGAGTCTGGGGAGCGGGGTGAGCTCCTGTCTGTCAGCTCCAGATTCCCATGCAGAGACATGAGAGACACCTCTCACAGGATAGTAAAAACATCCGGGCATCCCCTGGGCAATGTCTTTGCAGATGGCCAATTCTCTCACACCAGAAGCGACTTAAAGTTTCTCAAGTGGCCCCACACACGAAAAAAAAGTAATGGATTAATGATAATGACAATATCAAAGGGGTTCTTGTTTTATGACTTGTGTAACAACTGATAAAGTTGAATTGCAGAGAATGCTTTTCTACATTGTTTTCTCTTGAGGCAAAATTTGAAACTCTGAAGTTGTGCAGACTTACCTGTTTTCATATTCTGTGTCTGCAAATAATTTTAGTAAAAATTCTTGTGTTTTTCATCCTGTTGCCTAATTAATATTTTAGAGCAGCCTTCCCCAACTTTGCATTTGTCAGCTATAAGACTACATTTCCCATCATTTGTCCTTCTCTAATGGCTACCCTCGTTTATCTAATCACTTTCCCTTCAATATTTACTACCAGGTTTCAGTTCATGAAACCCAGTAAAATGCCTTCAATTTTAGCCTGTTTTTTTCTACCACTGGGATTTTTACACAGTCACCTCTTTGTCTCAAAAGTGCTTAAAATAAAAGGCTGCACTTTTAACTATCAGGCTGTATTCAAATGCAGGTAAAAGTCAACATGTAAGCACCGTTTATGAAGGAAAAACAAATAATGTGTTATTTACAATCTCAGTATATTATAACCTCATTTGACTCTTTGCTACCCTCCAGCAAATAAGTGCTCAGATGCCAGTTGCACTAGGTAAACCATAAAGGATCTATACATTATATAACTAGTTTTTTACATAGACTAGCTTGTATCCTCTTGGTAAGTCCCAAATAGAGTATAATTGTCATATCAGTTTGTTTATTTAATCCAACATTTCTACCCCGTTCTTCTTAATCCCCGAAGGTGGCTCAGGGCTTACAATGGCAGCAATTTGATGCCGACAACATACAACACATTACGTATAATATTATACAGAAGATAAAACATTAGGTTAAAATACATTTAAAACTTTATTATTATCATGTAACCAAATCAATTGTTGATTTATTAGATAGTTAAGTCCTATTTATTGACTGTAGGCCATAAAAATGTTTTTCTTTTACCTTTCACCAATCTTTCCAACCCCCAGGTCATTGTCTGTCTATTACATGGGTCCCCAAACTAAGGCCCGTGGGGCGGATATGAACCTCCAAGGTCATTTACCCGACCCTCACTCAGGATCAACCAAAGTCTGAAATGACTTGAAAGCACACAACAACAACAACAATCCTATCTCATCAGCCAAAAGCAGGCCCACACATCCCATTGAAATACTAATAAGTTTATTTTTGTTAAAATTGTTCTTCATTTTAATTATTGTATTGTTTTAAGTGGTTTTGCACTACAAAT